AGTTCAATGTAAGCATTTCACATTGTATATCAAAGCAGTACCCTGAACCCCATAACTGCATCAATATACAAAGTTATGATTTAATAAAAAATAATATTAAAAAAATAAGAGGGACTTTGCTTGACAAATGCAATTAATGTAACCTGGATCTTTGTACCCTCAGTGAATCCCAAACAATAAACTAAATAAATAATAACTAGAGAAAAAATTCACCAAAAATAAATTTTTTTTTGAGACAGAGTCTCACTTTGTCACCCTTGGTAGAGTGCTATGGAATCATGGCTCACAGCAAACTCTTGGGCTCAAGCAATTCCCTTGCCTCAGCCTCCCAAGTAGCTCCTACAGGCACCTGCCACAACACCTGGCTATTATTTGGTGTAGTTGTCATTGTTGTTTGGCAGGCCCCCGCTGGATTCGAACCTGCCAGCTTTGATGTATATGGCTGGCCCCTTAGCCGCTTGAGCTATAGGTACCAAGCCAATATCTCCATTTTTAAAGCAAAAAATTATTTAAAAATAATTCTAACTTCTGATCAAATTTTGGATTAAAATTAAGATTAAAAAATCCCAAAGGGAGAAAATGATATGCTAAAAAAATTTTTTTTTTGAGATGGAGTCTCGCTTTGTCACCCTTGGTAGACTGTAGCACCATTATAGCTCACAGCAACCTCAGACTCCTGGGCTTAAGCGATTCTCTTGCCTCAGCCTTCCAGAGTAGCTGGAACTATTGGCACCTGCCACAGTGCCTGGCTATTGTTTAGAGGCAGGGTCTTGCTGTAGTTCAGGCTGGTCTCAAACTTGTGAGCTCAGGCAATTCACCCACCTCGGGCCTCCCAGAGTGCTGGGATTACAGGCATGTACCTTGTTTTTAAGGTACAATTAATCAATACCTCTGTGCAGAATAGTGAGTAAACCAAAATACACCAGTTTCATGGGCAACTGAAAGTCAGCATATTTAACTCAAAATTGTAAACTCTCATCTATTCTGAAAGCAATCTAAAAATCAAGTCAAAGCTTGTTCTTAGCTTGGGCCCTGGAATTAGCACTAGAAATGACGCAATCTGAAACCATAGCCAATTGTTTATTAATCTTTGTCCCAAAGGGAGAGGCTTCTTTTCTGATTCTCCAGAAATGACGCTGTTGGGGTTGCCTTGAAACTTCACCTAAGGTAGCTGGCAGTAGAGACATTATATTCACTTTGAACTATCATTTTCCTTTCCAGCCAAAATAAAACTTGAATTCTCTTTCACAATATGCAATTTATAATGAAGCCTTCCTCCACTAAAGGGTCTAACTAGTTTCTTTGCTAGGAGTCACAGAATCAACAGGAAGTTCATGCCTCAAGGGCTTACTTGTTGCAGAATGGAAAAAATGAAGCTGTGGACTTTCTTAAGGATGATTTAGAGAGGAGAGATCATTAAATTACTGTAATCCACCACCCTTATCTTTTTCACCAAGCTAATAAACAAAAGCACAAGCTGCACTCCACCCAGGAACAGAAACACTTCTTTGACAGCATTTGACTGGAAGTCAACTTGAGAGTTCTGATCAGGTTTTTTATCACACACTGGAGCTTGTGCCTTGTTTTAGAGATCAAGGTTTTGGGTATTACACAGCCAAATCTTGAGCACATTTTAAAGAAAGGAAAAAGAGTGCTCTTTTTTTTTTTCAATGGAATTCACTAGAATTTAATGCCCTTAACATTTCATTCTAATATCTACCATATGGATAACAAAGTGTTATTATGCCATTGGGATTTAGCTCCAAAGCCAATCCTATCCGCTTATATTGCAGCTTGGATAGGTCACCTGGATAACATTTCTGGCATTTCAGCAAACACACGGATATAATATCTGCATCATTTGACTTTGCATATTTTATATCTGTTTCTAAGAGTATTTTTTTTTTTT